TTTTTTTTTTTTTTTTTTTGAACAAATAAAATGTATAGAATGTATAGAGTGTATAGAAAAAAATTATATATATATATATTTTATTTTACAAATAGGGCTTGCTAATAGGCCAAAGGAATCTGCTCTACTCCAGGCCTCATATTAGTTCTCGACAGCCTGGCTACAGATATAAACAAACCTTGTTTATAAGCACATAGCTTATAAACAAGGAAGCCATTTCTAACATATTGTAATAACATGATTTGACTTTGCTTTTCTTAAAAATCAGATTATGAACTTTTTATTACCTCTTGTATCAATATTTTCATATACTAATCTTACAAAATAAAACTGATTCCTATCACACATGCATAACTTTTTGATCACCATGTATTATCATCAAATAATGATTTTAAACATTCTAATATAATTTTATTTTAAATAATTTCAACTACTGTTTTAAATTTCATCAAAAAATTATAAATTTAATTTTTTTTAACTTACCTCATTGACAAGGAAGCTAATTTGAATAACAGCAGTATCTAACAAGTGCTGCACATGACAATCTACTCCAGGCCGACCAAATCTATGTAAAATGTTAAAGAAATTAACAGATCTACATTATATTAATGTATAAAACAAATTACTCTGCCTGTCATATTTTTTAATCATTTGTCATGTTAACAGAAATAATCTAAGATTCTTGAAATCTGTTAAAATATTAATTATAACCAGACAACAAAAATGCCAGTGAATCTTTCACAATTGCAATCATTATAAGTAATATTTGTTGATTTTATTTTTTATCAATTATATAGACTTTTAACTAATTATTTAGTTTAAAAACCAGCTATCATTAACATTTAACAATATCAATTGTGTTTAAAAAATTTGACATCAGATCAAACTAAATAAAATAATTCTATGTGTAGTGTCCTTATAATCCAAAAAAATGATTCTTGGTAGACGACCAAACAGCAATTGGTTAGGAAAACATTACGGTTTATTGGTACAACCACACAAATGACAATAATTGTCAAATTAATAAAAACAATATAAAAGTTTTACATTTAGAAAAATACCCATATAAAAAGAAATTTAAAGAACACATTAAAATCAAAAAACACCCTAAAGATAACTTAATTAATACTGTAATGACAAAACTTTATTATTTACTTTTAGCGAACAAAAATGAACAGTAGTAATACTTGATTGTTAATAAATCATAATTTAAACCTAATTTTAATTGTTACCTGAAACAAAAAATTTTTGTTTTTAAATGTTAAAGAATCATTTTAAGAATTGGGAATCAGCATAAATTTCTCTCGATCCAATATCGATTGTAATTGCTCGCCCCCATCACTAATAAACATGCTAACAAATAATGCAGAAACTATTCAAAAAAACAAATTAAATTATCAGCACTTTTGGTATTGATATAGCTTTTAGAATTACTAATAAACTGGAATTTTTATTGAAAGCTAGTAAAATCTACCGAGTTTTAAATCTAAAAATAAAAAATTTTTTTAAAAATGTACAGAAGATATAAATAATGCTTCATGTGAAGCAGAAACCAATGACTTGGTTTAATATCTTAAAAACATAATAAATTTTCTAATCTGGTAAATGAATCTACGGATATTGGTAACTTTAAAAAGTTTAGCTGTACTTGTGCAATATTAGAAAAATAAAGTGAAAACTCACCTTCTAGAACTGTTTTAAACAGATGTACGAAATTTACAACAAATATACAGTACATGATACTTAAAATAGCCGTTTTTGATAAACACACAAAGATATTTTGTTTTGACTTTTTCACTAAGATTTCCTGTTTTTGCTAATCGAAACCACACCAGTACAATAAGTCTTATTAATAAACAAGGTCCAAGTAGACAAAAATACAAACAGAAATTGATGTTTATATCTACATTTCTGAACATGCTAAAAAATTAGAAATTAACTGAAATCCAGATTTTTTCAGAAAAAACAGGAAATGCTTAAATTTTCAATTACAAGGATAACCTAAGAAATTCTGAATGGATGCCTAAAGAACTGCAGAATATCTATACTAAAGCATCTCTCTTATTTTTAAAACTAGATTTAAAATTATTTAACATTCTATTTCAAAACAGAAAACTTATTAGAAGTACTATTTTACAAATAGGGCTTGCTATATAGAATTTTAATAGAATAATTAAGTATATTTAGGAAAAAAAAATTATATATGTACAGGCCTATATACTGTATATAATTTTGTAACAATTGTGTCAAAATTTTATTAAAAGTAAACTAATATTTTATATGAAGATATAACAACTAATATTTTATATGAAGATATAATAGCCTTCAATATTGTTTTTACCTCTACATAAATTGTGTGTGGGGTCGGTCTGCCGATTTATTAGAAAAAATACCTCAAAATGGAAAAGATATAGGTTTATAAAAAAAACTTTATAGTTTTACATTACAGGTGCTGTCAAATTACAGAAGAGATTACCTGAGAGTATATTTAAATACATGATATTTTTCAATCCTAAAATTGCATTTAATAAAAGTTTGGGTGAAATAAATGTAAAATTTAACAGATAAAAAAGACTTCTAGACAAGCAAAATATAGTACACTAGCAGACCCCACCACGCGTTGTTGTGGCTCAAAATGTACCTATTATAAATGTATAACACTTCCCCGTGGGGAGAGGGGAATTTTTCGAAAAATCCCTTAGTGTACATTTTCTTGACGTACCCTATTAAAATGCAATCAAAAACGCAAAAAACCGCATCTGAAATAGTATAAATCAGTGTTTCTTAACGGGAACGATATCTCCCCATGTGGGCGTTTTTCCATGTTCAGAGGGCGATTAGCAACAATTTATATTTTGGGGTCAAAAAACAATTTTCAGGGCTATATAGTAAAACATTATATTAAGAATAATTAGATATTTTATTCGTTATATCTTACAATAGTTAAACAAATAACATTATACTAGTCACTATTCTATTCAATGCAGTACGAATTTGGCATTAGCCTTGTCCCTCGGAATCGGAACTTTGTAGTGAAGGGGGCAATACTACGTAACCGTTTTATTGAAGGGGCGATACTACGTCAAAGGGGGCGACGTTTCGTTAGAGGTTGAGAAACACTGGTATAAGTAGAAGCAGAGTACTTTACGGTAAGCCTTAATCCTGTCGATCTCCCCCCGGGGGATTTTGGCATGTATATTATATAAAGACAAGTACGTATTCGAATGCAACGTTGTGTCAAAATTTCAAAGGAATCGGTAGGAACAAACGAACATTACATTTTTATTTATATAGATAGATAGAAGATGATCTGCTTTACTTCGTTTTCACAGAAAAGCAAACTTAGGGCGTCGTACTCGTAGCGCCATCTGTTGACACAAAAGCCTTAACCTAGATTATATATTTTAATTTATATGAATGTTTAACGGAATAATATACAGACTATGTCCACCCTGAGGTTCCATTCTAAATATTGGTGAAAGAATTTTTGAAATCGGATGAGTAGTTTCGGAGATTACCTGCTGCAAACAAACATACAAACATTACCTCTTTATAATATTAGTACTGTATAGATAAAACTGAAATTTGAGTAGAGAAATTACCCAATATGTTTAGTAATGATGAAATTATTAAACTGAACTTTTCAGTGGTGAATGAGAGGTGTATTAATGTAGCATCAAGGAAACATTTGATAATACTGATAATACCAAACGTATATAGAAGTAGATAAGGAAAAGGGGGCTGCTTATGAATGTGGTTTTGAGTCTTTTGTTATGGCTCGGGTTCCTTTTTCTTTGCAGTTTTTTTTTATTTGTTATTTTTTTATTTTTGATGTGGAAATTGTGTGTAAATTGGCTAAATTAATTCTTATTTTACCACAATCAAACGTGTAAGCTGAAAGAATATTGTTTCAGATACAAAAGCAAAACGGCGTAAAAGAATTACGGGACATTCCAATTTTCAACGCGAGTGTTAAATGTTGAAGTCAACAATTTGACGTCATCAACGACGTTCCAATTCGAGTAGGAAGTGCTTAGTTCCTATAATTTCATTCTCAGCAAGATGGATTCCATTCAAATGTCTTACCAATTCCCCACAATTCATTGGAAAGTAGCAGTCAGCATATCTGCTGAGTGCTGAGTGTGTTGAGACAGCGCTGACAACAGCGCCATTTCAACATTGAAAAAACGAACGACTTTTAACGAATGTTGAGATCAGCGCCGAGTCAGCGTTGAAAATTGGAATGTCCCGAATGCGAAGGATAACGTGCATGCTGGTTCTAAATCAGTTACAGTTAGGAACTTGCGTAGGAGTAACTTAAGTAACCTAAATTAAGAAAGAACAGGTATAGATGACTTAGCTCTATTGGATATTGTACGATCTATTGAAGAAGTGTACGATCGTGCATGCAAAAAAGAAAAAAAAAAAGGTCGACAGGTTGCGCGCCACACGTCAGTGTAAACAGACTAACATGGCAGAATTGAGTGCGAGTTCTTTCGCTGTTAAAATAGTGTAATTTTGTAAAAATATCTGCAAGAACATTGTTTCATTGTAATTTCACAATTTCTACGAAATTCCCGGACAAAATTAATAGTTCACCCGGACAGTGAGTCAATTCTCGGACTGTCCGGATGAAAACCGACGGGTGGTAACACTATTAGTGACAACTCATTAAATGTAGTTTGTATTTTGCAAACCATTTTACAAGATAAGAAAATGCAAAATTTGAAAAGAATGATATAAAATTGCACAATAGTGCGATGTATTCTTTCGAAAAATAATGTGTGTTCTATAGTAACGTCGTTTATGCTCACAATAAAGAAATTTATTTTTAAAAAATTATTTCTAATCCTAAAACGCAATGATACAGCAAAATAAAAGAAAGTTATTTTGTTTGGTTTATTTTTAAAAATCGAAAGAGGGTGTTTTAGAGTTTAAAAAAAATTTATTGACGCTGTGTAGAGATTTCTTAATTTCAGGGGTTCGTAACACTGCAAAGTAGTTAGTTTACTTCGTGACGAAAATGGCGTTCGTCGATATTACGCCTAATATTTCTAAATTCAAGTTAGTGTGTAAATTGTGGACTAAAAAGTGAAATAACAAACAACTACTGATGTGAAATAACCTGTAAAAACTCACTTCAGATTTCATTAGCAACATTTATAGTCTCATTTTTATAAAATCAATTTGTAAACGGTTGGTCCAGCGAATGTTAGAATAATGATGGCGTCATTCTCGTTTAACTCGTTATTTATGAATGCATCATGAGTCTTAAAACAGTATTGAAAACTATATGAGACGAAATAAAATTTACTATACCTAAGTACTTTCATTTCTCAAATTTATCATATTTTACGCAGTTTTCAACGTCGATCTGTATTAAAACTGTTGCGGTATATTAATATAGTATAGTACTAGAGTAACTTTCGAAATACAATCATTGTATGGATTTACTGTATTCGTAATGTTTTTTTTTCTATTTTGTTCTATAAGTATTATTTTATTATTTATTTTTATTTTATTTATTACTTATTTTAAACGAACCAATCCTTTTTCACAATCACA